CGGGAGTCAATTATAATCATTTTTGGTCAACACAGATATCCTCGAAATCCTAACCATTTTCGAGAAAAAAATTCAAAAACATGTGACATTTTTCGACAAAATTGAAAAATTTCAAATCGTTTTGAAAAAATTATTATTCGTTCCGGGGGTCAATTACAAGCATTTTTGGTGGAGAGACATAACCTCGAAATCCTAACCATTATTGAGAAAAAAATTCCTTACCGAAAATATCATTTCAGGCCAGAAATGTCACCCCAAAATTTCGTGTGTATCTTTAAAACATCATAACTTCTGAACGGATTGAAGGATTTCAATGTTTAAAAAAGCAAACTACGTGTATTTTAGTAGAGAATATGTAGAAATCGCAAAAATATTCGAAAAGTTACTCCTTAACACGGTAAAGTGAGAAAAACACCATAAAAATGGCCCAATTTTCACATAGCCATATCTCCTACAGTAGTGAGTATATTCCAATGAAACTTTTTTCTGAAGTAGAGCTCACGGGCACCTACAAGAAAGTATTAAACAACTTTTCTATAGGGCGTCAAACAAAAGTACTAAAAATCAAAAACAAATTTTTAAGAAAAATCGACAGGGGGTTTTTCGACAAAATTGAAAAGTTTCAAATCACTCTGGAAAAATTATTTTCGGTTTCGAGGGTCAATTAGAATAATTTTTGGTTATTAGATATACCCTCGAAATCCGATCCAATTTCGAGAAAAAAATTCGAGAAGGTGTGAAATTTCTCGACAAAATTAAAAAATTTCAAATCATTCTGAAAAAATTATTTTTAGCTAGGGGGGTTAATTACCATCATTTTTGGTCAATAGGCATATCCCCGAAATCCTACCCATTTTCTATAAAAAAATTTATGAACGTGTGAAATTTTTCGACAAAATTAAAAAATTTCTAATCATTCTGAAAAAATTATTTTTAGCTAGGGGGGTTAATTACAATCATTTTTGGTCAATAGACATACCCTCGAAATCCTATCCAATTTCGAGAAAAAAATTCGAGAATGTGTAAAATTTTTCGTCAAAATTAAAAAATCTCAAATCGATCTAAAAAAATTATTTCCGGCTGCAGGGGCCAATTACAATGATTCTTGGTCATTAGATATATCCCCGAAATCCTACCCATTTTCTAGAAAAAAATTCGAGAAGGTGTGTAATTTTTCGACAAAATTGAAAAATTTCAAATCGATCTGAAAAAATTATTTTCTGTTTCGAGGGTCAATTAGAATAATTTTTGGTCAATAGACATACCCTCGAAATCCTATCCACTTTCGAGAAAAAAAATACTTTACCGAAAATATACTGTGTGGCCAGAAATGTTTCCATAACTTTTTAACGAAGCCTCAATCAACAAATTAGTATCCTTCATTTTCGTCTTATTTTGGCCTCTAGAATCTCCCATTAAAATTTCTCCCAGGTTATTATTATCATAAATAATAATAACAACAAAATGGGAAGCATGGAGTATACAATGTGTGTTTTCTAGAACAGAACTAAAATGGAACATATAATTTGATCATATAATCGTGATTCCTCTCAATTTTCAAAATTCTAATCAATTATTCGCGAATAATTTCTATAGAATGAAATAAATACTAAAAAATGTTCGATTTCATGATATTTTATTACAATAATTCCATATGAAGAGATGAAGATAAATATAGAAATGTTGAAGTAAAAATGGAAAGTTGTGTGACATTACATACTATTTTGTAATGTATGTTATAACAATATACAATAGGTAGGCTATACAGTAATATCACAATGCATGATTCACAACTTCGTAAAAGTCTAGAGAAGAGAATATAAATCTAAGTTTCGGAGACCACCGTTCATCGTTCAATTTCCTTGGAGACGAAGCCCGGTGCGTCATTATATCGATTAGAAACGGCGATGAAAAAACAAAAAATTCATTTTCTTTCCCCTTTTACTCTACACACTTTCGAGAATCGGAAATATACATACATATTCGAACAATGCCAATTCGTCGATCATTGTCGTTATTCGTTCAATAATATAGAATACCGACGACGCTAAAAGCTAATAGTGGTGTAGACAGTACTCACTTTTATAGCAACAGTACTATACTTAAATCGTAATAGTAATAATAACAATAATAATGATTAATAATCATGACAACAGGGCGCATACGCTTTTCTTTTCGTTTGTATATGTTTGATTGCATGATTGATATGACGTTCCTAGCTCTTCGGACGATCGCTATTATGTCTCGGGTGACATTAAAAAATCCGCATGAAAATAAATTACTATATGCTACCGTAGTCGAAAAAGTCTTATGAGCGACGGAATAAACTTAAAGGCTCGTATTCATAACACTGTATTATCACCAAACGATACGCCTTTGTTTCTCGATTATGCTTACCGACAGAAATTAATCTCCACCGTTCGATAACAGGCATTTACTCTAATTATTGAGAATAGTCTCCATTTGGCGATTGTTTTCGTGCAATTCAACGAATTTTTTAATACCTCAGAATCTTTAATTATCAATGGTCAAACGTTCTCGATAGATTCTAGGAAAACAGAACTAATCAATGTACATCGTTAAGAAAATTAAAGGAGTATAGTTCGTTCTACTAGAGCGTTCTGAATACAGGCCAGACAGTATAAAAAATTGAGTTTCGTGCCACTTCGAGAGCGCATTGCCACACGTACTGGTCGTTGTAGTAAACATCTTCCTAACAAATATGGCCGACTGTGAGAAGCTGAGCGGGGGAAAAGAACGTTCTTCCCAATAATTCTCCATTGCACGGATTAACACGTCCTAGGTACTCAATCGCTACGTTTATCGACCAGACCATGTCAGCGATTGTCAGCATACGAGACGCGTTAAAGGATCATCACGGATCACGAGCAAAAATAAATCAGAAATCCCCACGAAATTCACGACAAGTGCGACTGAAATATTTGTACTTTCTTCAACTTTCTCAACTTCGCCGCATGTCTCAGGAAAAATTGAACAGTTAAATCTCGAGGAAACGAAACATCGAACACTTGACGCGATAATAATTTGTATACCAAAGAGGCTAAGTACCAAGACGAGACGAATCCGAATTTTCAAACGTAAAATGTTCAAGGTTTCTTTTCATTTGGTACTTGGTCTCCTCGATATTTTTGCTCTGCAGTCACGAAACCAGATACTATACTATCGTTTCGCCAGTTTCGTAACATTCGATCTTCGATCGCGTCTCGGAGAACAAGCTAAAACAAAACTAACGTTCTCGTCCTCTCGTACGGGGGGTTCCGGTGGAACGTTTTTGTACTCAGCACACCCACAATAAATACACCATCCTCGCCGTTGTACCATCGTTATGAGTATATATTCGCGTGATTCGTTTACAAGGTAAAAAGTTTCGAGTCGGTATTCGATCTCAACGTAAGCGTAAAGACGACACGCGTACCTCTGATTGCAACGTATATGTTTGCTCGTGTACGTGTATACATAAATGTGTGTATACATATAGATATATGTATATAGAATATTCTGGAAGAACAGATTTGCGTATTGCAACAGCGCAAATTGGACCGTGACGCCTTACCGAGGCAAACGATATCCTACGTCTCGGATATGTCACTTTCTGGATCGCCTGTTTTCCTCGAACAAATCAATTGTTAGATCGTCAGGCTCTCGAGATAGTATTCCTATCGACAGTCGAACATTTCCAGGCGTCAAACACGTCCAAATCAAACAGAATAAGAAGCTTTATTGGTTATTATCAAAATTTCAACTTTTCAGAGCATGATGCTTGCTATATCTTCAACTTTCAAGAGAAGTCAACACTCGACAAAGATATTACATCTCACACACCCTTGAAGCTGACAATATTGAAGCTTCAACATTTCAAATCGTTTTTCTCGAATCAACAATCCCCAATAAACGCTTAAATTTCAACTTTTCAGAGCATGATGCTTGCTATATCTTCAACTTTCAAGAGAAGTCAACACTCGACAAAGATATTACATCTCACACACCCTTGAAGCTGACAATATTGAAGCTTCAACATTTAAAATCGTTTTTCTCGAATCAACAATCCCCAATAAACGGTTAAATTTCAACTTTTCAGAGTATGATGCTTGCTATATCTTCAACTTTCAAGAGAAGTCAACACTCAACAAAGATATTACATCTCACACACCCTTGAAGCTGACAATATTGAAGCTTCAACATTTAAAATCGTTTTTCCCGAATCAACAATCCCCAATAAACGCTTAAATTTCAACTTTTCAGAGCATGATGCTTGCTATATCTTCAACTATCAAGAGAAGTCAACACTCGACAAAGATATTACATCTCACACACCCTTGAAGCTGACAATATTGAAGCTTCAACATTTAAAATCGTTTGACTCGAATCAACAATCCCCAATAAACGCTTAAATTTCAACTTTTCAGAGTATGATGCTTGCTATATCTTCAACTTTCAAGAGAAGTCAACACTCGACAAAGATATTACATCTCACACACCTTTGAAGCTGACAATATTGAAGCTTCAACATTTCAAATCGTTTTTCTCGAATCAACAATCCCCAATAAACGCTTAAATTTCAACTTTTCAGAGCATGATGCTTGCTATATCTTCAACTTTCAAGAGAAGTCAACACTCGACAAAGATATTACATCTCACACACCCTTGAAGCTGACAATATTGAAGCTTCAACATTTCAAATCGTTTTTCTCGAATCAACAATCCCCAATAAACGCTTAAATTTCAACTTTTCAGAGCATGATGCTTGCTATATCTTCAACTTTCAAGAGAAGTCAACACTCGACAAAGATATTACATCTCACACACCCTTGAAGCTGACAATATTGAAGCTTCAACATTTAAAATCGTTTTTCTCGAATCAACAATCCCCAATAAACGCTTAAATTTCAACTTTTCAGAGCATGATGCTTGTTATATCTTCAACTTTCAAGAGAAGTCAACACTCGACAAAGATATTACATCTCACACACACCCTTGAAGCTGACAATATTGAAGCTTCAACATTTAAAATCGTTTTTCCCGAATCAACAATCCCCAATAAACGCTTAAATTTCAACTTTTCAGAGCATGATGCTTGCTATATCTTCAACTATCAAGAGAAGTCAACACTCGACAAAGATATTACATCTCACACACCCTTGAAGCTGACAATATTGAAGCTTCAACATTTAAAATCGTTTGACTCGAATCAACAATCCCCAATAAACGCTTAAATTTCAACTTTTCAGAGTATGATGCTTGCTATATCTTCAACTTTCAAGAGAAGTCAACACTCGACAAAGATATTACATCTCACACACCTTTGAAGCTGACAATATTGAAGCTTCAACATTTAAAATCGTTTGACTCGAATCAACAATCCCCAATAAACGCTTAAATTTCAACTTTTCAGAGTATGATGCTTGCTATATCTTCAACTTTCAAGAGAAGTCAACACTCGACAAAGATATTACATCTCACACACCTTTGAAGCTGACAATATTGAAGCTTCAACATTTCAAATCGTTTTTCTCGAATCAACAATCCCCAATAAACGCTTAAATTTCAACTTTTCAGAGCATGATGCTTGCTATATCTTCAACTTTCAAGAGAAGTCAACACTCGACAAAGATATTACATCTCACACACCCTTGAAGCTGACAATATTGAAGCTTCAACATTTAAAATCGTTTTTCTCGAATCAACAATCCCCAATAAACGCTTAAATTTCAACTTTTCAGAGCATGATGCTTGCTATATCTTCAACTTTCAAGAGAAGTCAACACTCGACAAAGATATTACATCTCACACACCCTTGAAGCTGACAATATTGAAGCTTCAACATTTCAAATCGTTTTTCTCGAATCAACAATCCCCAATAAACGCTTAAATTTCAACTTTTCAGAGCATGATGCTTGCTATATCTTCAACTTTCAAGAGAAGTCAACACTCGACAAAGATATTACATCTCACACACCCTTGAAGCTGACAATATTGAAGCTTCAACATTTAAAATCGTTTTTCTCGAATCAACAATCCCCAATAAACGCTTAAATTTCAACTTTTCAGAGCATGATGCTTGCTATATCTTCAACTTTCAAGAGAAGTCAACACTCGACAAAGATATTACATCCCACACACCCTTGAAGCTGACAATATTGAAGCTTCAACATTTAAAATCGTTTTTCTCGAATCAACAATCCCCAATAAACGGTTAAATTTCAACTTTTCAGAGCATGATGCTTGCTATATCTTCAACTTTCAAGAGAAGTCAACACTCGACAAAGATATTACATCTCACACACCCTTGAAGCTGACAATATTGAAGCTTCAACATTTAAAATCGTTTGACTCGAATCAACAATCCCCAATAAACGCTTAAATTTCAACTTTTCAGAGTATGATGCTTGCTATATCTTCAACTTTCAAGAGAAGTCAACACTCGACAAAGATATTACATCTCACACACCCTTGAAGCTGACAATATTGAAGCTTCAACATTTAAAATCGTTTTTCTCGAATCAACAATCCCCAATAAACGGTTAAATTTCAACTTTTCAGAGTATGATGCTTGCTATATCTTCAACTTTCAAGAGAAGTCAACACTCAACAAAGATATTACATCTCACACACCCTTGAAGCTGACAATATTGAAGCTTCAACATTTAAAATCGTTTTTCTCGAATCAACAATCCCCAATAAACGCTTAAATTTCAACTTTTCAGAGTATGATGCTTGCTATATCTTCAACTTTCAAGAGAAGTCAACACTCGACAAAGATATTACATCTCACACACCCTTGAAGCTGACAATATTGAAGCTTCAACATTTAAAATCGTTTTTCTCGAATCAACAATCCCCAATAAACGGTTAAATTTCAACTTTTCAGAGCATGATGCTTGCTATATCTTCAACTTTCAAGAGAAGTCAACACTCGACAAAGATATTACATCTCACACACCCTTGAAGCTGACAATATTGAAGCTTCAACATTTAAAATCGTTTTTCCCGAATCAACAATCCCCAATAAACGCTTAAATTTCAACTTTTCAGAGCATGATGCTTGCTATATCTTCAACTTTCAAGAGAAGTCAACACTCGACAAAGATATTACATCTCACACACCTTTGAAGCTGACAATATTGAAGCTTCAACATTTCAAATCGTTTTTCTCGAATCAACAAACCCCAATAAACGGTTAATTTCTGTCGAAAATCGCTTGGACCATGAATGTTAAGATAATTGTTCTTTTAAGGCTTTCGACGCAATAATAAATGTTTCAAAAACAGTCAATGATACTTGAATAGGTTTTTACGAGTGCTTGAAGTATGTCAAATTTGCATTAAACCAAATTTCTGTAACGCGTCCACTGTTATGAGCAAAAGTTGTACGTTCTGGGAACTCAACATTTTCTGCACCTTTAATCTTCATAGAATGTCAAGATAATTATTTAACTGCTTTAACTTTGATCATATTTTGTAACATACATTGATCTTCCTCCATTAAATAAAAGTTTGCATGAAGAAATGTTTACTTCTTCCTAAAGAAGTGACAAAATGTCTAAATCCCCATGAAAGATTCTCTATTTTCAATATCGAAGAGTTTCCAACTTTTGAACGACAACAAATATGATCAATCCTCATTCATATAGCCATTAATAAAGAAAAAATTACCTAGAGCTTCTATATTTACTCATAGTTGATGAAAGTTACATACACAACCTGCAGAGATCATTCTGTTCAACTTCTCTTGGTACGAGGATCACTCAACAGTGAACATGTTAAGTCACTAACTGTTGTTTCTTCTATTTTCAAGTATTAAATCTGCCAAAATTCTGGAATGCTTCTTCTCGAGTCCTAGACAACATTGCATTACTCTCATCAGCTTTGAGCTACCCATTAACGACCCATTTAATCCTGATCCATAAAACTCCAAATCTATTATTTCCTAAAATTTCGAGTAAGCACCACTTGGCCTTACTTTTGCCTCATAAGTGACGTGTTTTAATTAAAATATAGCGAATCTATAACCGACTGGAAGTCAGCTAGATCTCGTAGCGCCCAGAGATCAACAAAACATGGACATTTGGACGCTGCTTTGACCTGGAATGTTCGACTGTTCAGACGAAGCAAGTAACAGGGACTATCCCTGCCCTATCCTCGTCCAGTATTCCCTAACTGCATCATCGTTTCATCGATAAGACGCCCGGACGCGTAAGTTTAACGAGTACCAACTTGAGAGGGTACTCGATTTAAAACGTAATTAACGGGGTTAAGTATGAGAAGAAAAGCCGGAGACTTACCCAGGAAAAACCAGGCCAGTTCTCGAGCCGTGGGTTCTCGCCTCGTTTCCGGATATTAAATACATCGAGTAAAAAGTGGCAATCTTCGATAACCTACACCGCAAGTACTTTGTACATCGAGTGAAATTCTAATCCCTTTTTTTGTTCGTCGCGGTCTAAGGGCCTAAACGATTCGTCCCGCGGGGACCTACAAACCCCCCCTGTTTCCGTTTTAAGACTGCTGAACTACGGAGACGTTCGTTTCCGTTATGCTACCGCCGTCGCGACATATGCTCGACGAGGTGGTGGTTTCCTCGGACGTGGCTGGAGCCACTGTCAGCTGCCTCTGCTCCATGTGATCCAAAGTCTTCTCGATGGCTCTCAATCTCTTCTCCAGGCTCGTAGTACCTAGGATCCCCACTTGCAACTGGGGGCCCAGTGGTAAAATGGCTAACAACCACCATGTCCACGAGGGACCGTCAGGCAGACGTGGCCAATCCTCCTCTGTGTCTGGCATTCGACCGAAAACTCGCTGTATTTCGGACTGCTGGGATGACGGGACCGTCTCCCACCATCTTCTGCCTTTCGCTCGCACCTGGAAACACGATTTTAATTGATCTTCGTGCCCCCAAATTTAGCAGATTTCAGAAGTAGGAGATTTTGCTCGATGTTAACTTATGTGCAAAAGGATTGAAAGTGTTTCGTTGAAGAATAGAAGAATGAAGAAAGAGTAGGAAACTACGATTAATTAATGTGATTTTAATTTGTGTGTAATTAAGTTGAATGTAAAAGCAAAAGTGTCTTTCAAACATCTAATTATCTTTCACTGTTTAAAATTTGAAACTTTTTTATTAAAATTGAATAGGTTTGAAAATTTCTTACCTTGTCGTGTAATTCTAGGAGGCTCAACAGTTGGTCTTCCTGTACCATCGTGTCCCTCAGGAATTCCACTTGAGCTGTGTCGTAGCCATCCCTTTCTCCCCCAGAGAGGACCCTGAATCTCCTTCCACCAACTGTACTGAGAATACTACAGCCATCTTTCAACAGAACTCTGTCCCTAATCTCGAGCATGGTGCCGTATTCAGCGTATCTGAAACGTTTACAAACACTATGACACTGGATTTCATTCTGAAACTATAGTTTTCCACCATCAACCCCTTAACTTTCATGTCAGAGTCTGACTGCTTTAAAAAACGATATTTCTTTCATCCAAAGGCTTAAGGGATGATGATATTCAAATTATACGTTGGATACAACATTGTAGTTGACAAAAATCAAATTTTTAGACACAAATTCAATGAAGAACACTGATCATTCTTGGTTGATCCGCAAAATATGAGCGTTGAGGGGTTTTGAATGATACTCTGTTCAACAATAAGCTACGTTGAGGTCTTCAATAGAAGATTTTACTACTCAATGATGTTCGATGTAGTTGTACCGTTTATACATATCAAATAACGTATAAAAGAGTAGTATAAAAGTAATTGTTTATTTGTTAAATGAAAATTGGAATTTGAGTAATATAATGAAATATTTCACAATGAACGAATAAAAATTTAAATCGTTACATTTTCTATTCGCTAAATAATTGGTTTTACTAGCTTTGTGGAAGCCAACAAAGATTCTTGGATGAGAAAATTTGGAATGCAATTACCTTTTGGCGCCTGTGGCTTCCCTGTTGAGACACGCGGCGATTCCAAATTGACGTACGCCGCTTTCGACGCATCTTCTCACCATGAGCCTGTATCTAGGCTCGTAGACGAAGAGGGGACAGGCGACGCAGGGGAATGCAGTGGTGCAGACGAACACAGCTATCTGCTCGCTGCCCAGAAGACCGAGTCCCTGGACGAGTTCTAATCGGTGGCTGGCCGCCCTAGAGGCGTATTCCCCCGGAGCCACGGTCTTCAGAGCCCTCTCCACGAACTCCGTCACCGTCTTCTGGCTACTGGCCAAGTACTGCGAGCAAAGAACACTTTGGTAAGTCGACCAGAAGCTTCGTCCTCGAGAGGAGCCTTCAGCGGTGAAGACATCGGCGAGTCTCCTGACTCTTTCATGAGCCCGAATCCTCCACTCCCCTTTGACAGGTGCTTTCGAGGCCAGCTACCACCCCCCAGGAGACCGACATTAATCATGAATCGAACGTTTCAACTAGAACCTTACATCTCGAGTTAACAATGCATTACTTAATTAATGGTCGTTGATGTACTTGGAGTATTACATTTTTAATTTATAAGGAAGCCAGTAACTGTGTTAACGGTAGCGCTGTTATTAGGATTAGTTATAATTAGACACATTTTGATTAACAGAATTAACGGAATAAGAGCTTTGTAGTTGTTTCAACCCCTAAATATATTAATTCGTATCTTGCTTGAAGAATTCCTTATATTTTTGCATATTAAGTGAACTCTGTAGTTTCTTGAGAATTAAAATTTCATAATAAATTGCATAAATGCATAAACAACGCAGTCTAGTTATAATAGTAGCTCGTGCTGCACATATGTGTAACCCTTTGCACTCTCAGAGCTTTTATTGATATAGATATCTAGGAATACCAATTGCAATTTTCTGACGTGACTTCCAGGAATAAGAGAATAGATTTGTTCCCAGGAAAGTCTAGATATTTAAATTTTATTTACCTATTTCTTCAATTCAACTCTCAGAGCCTCCATTAATATAGACATCTAGCAATAGATTTGTTCCTAGGAAAGTCTAGAAATTTAAATTTTATTTACCTATTTCTTCAATTCGACTCTCAGAGCCTCTATTGATATAGACATCCAGCAATACCAATTGCAATTTTCTGACGTGACCTCCAGGAATAAGAGAATAGATTTGTTCCTGGGAAAGTCTAGAAATTTAAATTTTATTTGCCTATTTCTTCAATTCAACTCTCAGAGCCTCCATTAATATAGACATCTAGCAATAGATTTGTTCCTAGGAGAGTCTAGAAATTTAAATTTTATTTACCTATTTCTTCAATTCAACTCTCAGAGCCTCTATTGATATAGACATCCAGCAATACCAATTGCAATTTTCTGACGTGACTTCCAGGAATAAGAGAATAGATTTGTTCCTTGGAAAGTCTAGAAATTTAAATTTTATTTACCTATTTCTTCAATTCAACTCTCAGAGCCTCCATTAATATAGACATCTAGCAATAGATTTGTTCCTAGGAGAGTCTAGAAATTTAAATTTTATTTACCTATTTCTTCAATTCGACTCTCAGAGCCTCTATTAATATAGACATCTAGCAATACCAATTGCAATTTTCTGACGTGACTTCCAGGAATAAGAGAATAGATTTGTTCCTAGGAAAGTCTAGATATTTAAATTTTATTTGCCTATTTCTTCAATTCAACTCTCAGAGCCTCCATTAATATAGACATCTAGCAATAGATTTGTTCCTAGGAGAGTCTAGAAATTTAAATTTTATTTACCTATTTCTTCAATTCAACTCTCAGAGCCTCTATTGATATAGACATCCAGCAATACCAATTGCAATTTTCTGACGTGACTTCCAGGAATAAGAGAATAGATTTGTTCCCAGGAAAGTCTAGAAATTTAAATTTTATTTGCCTATTTCTTCAATTCAACTCTCAGAGCCTCCATTAATATAGACATCTAGCAATAGATTTGTTCCTAGGAAAGTCTAGAAATTTAAATTTTATTTACCTATTTCTTCAATTCAACTCTCAGAGCCTCTATTAATATAGACATCTAGCAATACCAATTGCAATTTTCTGACGTGACCTCCAGGAATAAGAGAATAGATTTGTTCCCAGGAAAGTCTAGAAATTTAAATTTTATTTGCCTATTTCTTCAATTCAACTCTCAGAGCCTCCATTAATATAGACATCTAGCAATAGATTTGTTCCTAGGAAAGTCCAGAAATTTAAATTTTATTTACCTATTTCTTCAATTCAACTCTCAGAGCCTCTATTAATATAGACATCCAGCAATACCAATTGCAATTTTCTGACGTGACCTCCAGGAATAAGAGAATAGATTTGTTCCCAGGAAAGTCTAGAAATTTAAATTTTATTTGCCTATTTCTTCAATTCAACTCTCAGAGCCTCCATTAATATAGACATCTAGCAATAGATTTGTTCCTAGGAAAGTCTAGAAATTTAAATTTTATTTACCTATTTCTTCAATTCAACTCTCAGAGCCTCTATTAATATAGACATCTAGCAATACCAATTGCAATTTTCTGACGTGACTTCCAGGAATAAGAGAATAGATTTGTTCGTAGGAAAGTCTAGAAATTTAAATTTAATTTCCATATTTCTTAAATTCAATTTGTGTTATCATGTGTATGAAATATAGAAAAAGGTTTAAGAGCAATACGTATGCATAGAAGACGTTGAGCAGGTGCAGACTAGATGTAAATAATGTAAACGATTGGTCATAGTGCAACGTGACTCAAAGGGAAGAGGATGAGAGGAGATATAAGATTGCGAGCCGCAAAATTTCTTGAACGTCATTAACGTCGAAGACAATTGGTAACAACGCGACGCCACGAACACGGAAGCCACCGTTCGACGTCTCTGGTGACCGCAAACAATAATCATTTCAATCTGCAGCATCGTTAACCACTAGGAAGTATTATGTCTCATTTACCGGGGCAGGTGTTATCGTTTTCCATGGAACGTCGTTCGGGATTGACGGACTAACGAGTCGCGTTTACGGAAACGGGGAAATTTACGCGGGAAATCCAAAGGATCCAACATCAGAAAAGCAAAGAAAATGTAATCACTAGACTGCGGATGTTTATGCATTTGTGAGAAATTTTAATCCTCAAAAAACTACAGAATGCATTTAATATGTAAAAATATAAGAAATACGTAAGATACGAATTATTATATTTAGGGGTTGAGACAGTCCTCTGTGAAGCTCCAATTTCATTAATTTTATTAATAAAAATTCCGCTTGCGAAAGGTTTCAAAACGAATGGAACTGTGGGAAATTTTGGGGGCACACTTGTCAGAGTCCAACTTGATATTCACGGTGATTTCAATTTTTTTTATCGATGAGAATGATGACATATTACTGAATTGTTTCGTAACACAATTGTTTTGTTGTGTCAATTGACTTGGTGCTGGTTGATGCGTTTGTTTACCACGCATAAACTGTTGATTATTATGCAACGTGCAGTGTGGCGATTGTGAGGTTCAATAGTATACGAGTTATATTTGGAAACTAATGCAGTATATTGGGTGAAAAATTATTCAAATTAATCCCCTGTTACTATATACGCAACCTTGCTTATCGTAAATGCATGAACGATTGAAGTTCATTGATATTTTTCTATTATAATAATATTACTTCTCTGTTTATTTGTTTACGAGAAGAGGGTAACAAATGGGGAAGAACAAGAGTTCTAATTATCCATAAAAATTTAATTACACACGAAAACCGTATAATATTCAAAGAAACGCCAAATTCCAAGATGGCTGCGAACAAAATTGCCAGAAGTAATAGTGTAGACTTTGATATGAAGAACATAGGACACAAACTATTCAAAAACTGTGTAAATCTTCGCCAAAAAATATTAATCATTAAATACCATTAATTAATTTCTAATTGTTTCATATTCTAATTTGTCCCTCTTTCGTTTCACTAATAATTCCATTTTTTTTAAGATAAAACTAGCCAGATAAATGAAGTCTATTCACTTCGTTCTTATATGTCAACGAAGACATACTAAAAATATATTTTAAGATTCATTTAGAATATTTATATATTAGTAGAATATTTGAAACCAATTTTTGTTATTTAATGACTCTATTTCTGTGGTCTTCTAATTCACTTCATTCTTATACGTCAACGAAGACAATCTAAAAATATATATACAAAATTTAAGATTCATTTCGAACGTGTAAAATATTTGAAACCAATTTTAATTATTTAATGACTCTATTTCTGAGGTTTTCTAATATTCTATGACGTTTCACCGTGCATTGTAACTAGTTTCACTTCGTCTCACAATACTAAAATCAGAATCCCTTCTCTAAGACTCTTGATGACTCTCACCTATTGTATAAACTCCTCAGAAAGGACATGGGTTACATGTTTAAGCTTCGAACACTGTTTAATTCATACTAATGAGCTTTCGAGGCTCATCGAGAGGCTCCGTCTGCCTAAATTTAATATGCAAAACACGCATCCATGCAGAAGGAAATGTAACTTACGTCGGCGAGGGACGTGACACACAGAGGACAAGCCGAGGAATAGTCCAGACAACGATCCAAACACATCCAGCAGTACGTATGCCCACATGGTGTTGTTACGGGTTTCCATAAGAGTCGACAGCACAGGATGCAATCCAATTCGCCCGCTGTGCCACCGGAAAGGGGTGGCAGGAGATTCTCCGCGGGCCTCGCTTCAAGTCCTGCAAATGTCACGTTTTTTTATTAATTAAAATTATTCAAGGTTGACACTAACGTTCCAGTAAATTTATTCAGAGTAAATATGAACGTAGGTTTCGAGAAATCAGTAGCTTTTTACTTTTACTTTATTTGTTTCTCATTGCTTCGATATATGCAACGATGAAAAAGAAGTTGAGAAATGAATTATTTTCGTGTTAATAAATTAACTGTCACGGCAGTTTTCTATGGCCAAAGATATTCTTAATGTTTGGTCAAATTATAGTAATATTCAATGGCGAATTTGTTATGTCACGTTTTTTATTAATTAAAATTATTCAAGATTGATACTAACGTTTCAGTGAATATATTCAGAGTAAATATGAACATAGGTTTCGAGAAATCAGTAGCTTTTTACTTTTACTTTATTTGTTTCTCATTGCTTCGATATATGCAACGATGAAAAAGAAGTTGAGAAATGAATTATTTTCGTGTTAATAAATTAACTGTCACGGCAGTTTTCTATGGCCAAAGATATTCTTAATGTTTGGTCAAATTATAGTAATATTCAATGGCGAATTTGTTATGTCACGTTTTTTATTAATTAAAATTATTCAAGATTGATACTAACGTTTCAGTGAATATATTCAGAGTAAATATGAACATAGGTTTCGAGAAATCAGTAGCTTTTTACTTTTACTTTATTTGTTTCTCATTGCTTCGATATATGCAACGATGAAAAAGAAGTTGAGAAATGAATTATTTTCGTGTTAATAAATTAACTGTCACGGCAGTTTTCTATGGCCAAAGATATTCTTAATGTTTGGTCAAATTATAGTAATATTCAATGGCGAATTTGTTATGTCACGTTTTTTATTAATTAAAATTATTCGAGGGTGATACTAACGTTTCAGTAAATTTATTCAGAGTAAATATGAACGTAGGTTTCGAGAAATCAGTAGCTTTTTACTTTTACTTTATTTGTTTCTCATTGCTTCGATAAATGCAACGATGGAAAAGAAGAAGTTGAGAAATGAATTATTTATTTTCGTGTTAATGCGTTAGCTGTCACGACAATTTTCCATGCCCAAAAATATTCTTAATGTTTGGTCAAATTATAGTAATATTCAATGGCGAATTTGTTATTTTGCAATATTTCAAATTAAAGTTTCAAGCTAAAGTAAAGGAATTTTTTTGCAATATTTCAAATTAAAGTTTCAAGCTAAAGTAAAGAAATTTTTTTGCAATATTTCAAATTAAAGTAAAGTTTCATTTTACAAGTATTAGAGTTCTTCCATTGCAAAAATAACATTGCAACGCGTTGTAAGTTCAAAGTGACGGTCACTGGTGACCACCACCGTGGTAAACAACGTTCTCCAGGCGAAAAAAAAAAAAAATTCCCCAACCTTGGTTTCTACCCTTAAATTTGCACCTCTGTTGCATGTATTTTATTTGAAATTTCAAAAAAAAAAATTATTTCTTAGTTATTTAGTAATTCTGACTGAAAGTGAATGACAAAAGTAGCTGAGAATTATTTTATTATTAATCGTTCCCGTGTAAGAAAATTTCGTGCATTAATCATGTTCAATCAGGAAACTTTACTGGATTTACTTTTATCAGGACACATTATGCAATTAAGGTTTAAATGCATTTAAGAGTAACTATGAGCAATAAAGTTCGAATTGAGTAAGTAAAAATCCTATGAAAATGTCAAATGGACGTTTTTAACAAAATAAAAATATCTATTGATGATTCTATGTAAATATTTCTACTAATATTAATTAACTATCATCTTTTATATTTTTAAATAATTGTAAATTCTCTGAACTCGACTGCTGAAAATTATATTCGCGTCGAATAAATGTTTATTTTTATAATAAGCAATCAAGGACCTGTTTATCAATGGCACGCATTTAGCCCCACGTATCGTAGTCACTTGTGCACCGTCAGCTATTAATACGAAATGTCAGATAAAACGTAATCGTTTAACCTTTCCAGCAATGCAATACATTTTTCACGAGAAAATGAAGTTTCGTTCGATGAGCAACAATGTAGCCAATTAGAAGCGTGGAAAATAATAAATACAGAATGTTAAATAATATTTAATTACTATTCAACAGTGATGCTTTCTGAGATTCAAGTTCAAGTCATATAAAAATAAAACTGTAAACTGTCATTGGACACCAAATTTAAAAATTCATCTGTCATCTATTTTTTTGAAGATCACAATCAGTACAACGTGTCAATAAATTTGTCACTGTGCTTTTGAGCTTTACAACTAATTGTCTAATACCATAAATACAGATATATATTATATATTATGATATTTAAGTATCATTTAACAGTGATGCTTTCTGAGATTCAAGTTCAAGTCATATAAAAATAAAACTGTAAACTGTCATTGGACACCAAATTTAAAAATTCATCTGTCATCTATTTTTTTGAAGATCACAATCAGTACAACGTGTCAATAAATTTGTCACTGTGCTTTTGAGCTTTACAACTAATTGTCTAATACCATAAATACAGATATATATTATATATTATGATATTTAAGTATCATTTAACAGTGATGCTATCTGAGATTCATGTTAAAGTCGTATCAAAATAAAACTGTAAACTGTCATTGGACGCCAACTTAAAAATTCATCTGTCATCTATTTTTTCGAAGATCACAATCAGTACAACGTGTCAATAAATTTGTCACTGTGCTTTTGAGCTTTACAACTAATTGTCTAATACCATAAATACAGATATATATTATATATTATGATATTTAAGTATCATTTAACAGTGATGCTTTCTCAGATTCAAGTTAAAGTCGTATCAAAATAAACCTGTAAACTGTCATTGGACGCCAAATTTAAAAATTCATCTGTCATCTATTTTTTTCGAAGATCGCAATCAGTAGAACTTACTTTTTAATTTCTCTACGTCTTGATAGACTCGATCCAGGCCGGCCTGCAGCTTGGTGTTGTTCAGTGGTGCTGCGTTTGACAGGAGCCTCCTGCTAACAGTCTGCAATGAATCAACAAGCATAATTGGATTAAGCGCGAACTTTAATCTCGAATTATTAGGATTGACACGATTAGAGCTCCTTTTCTTTGAAATACAATTCGTCTTTATTTGTAACCAGACGCCGCGCAATTGTGTAAGATTTAATGGATCGTTACACAACCAGAATCAGTTCGAAACTTCATTTTTCGACGTCTAGTTTCGCCTCGATTATCGTTTATGTTTGGTTCGAGGAATCTTTGCTTTGGTAGCTTAAAAAATTGAGTAATTCGTGATTTTTGTGTGTCTTTTCTGTCAAACGAGGAACAGCTTTATTGGAGTGACATCGAAACAACAAAAAGCAGGAGAATTTGAAACCTTGTTAACGAGGGGATTTGTAATTAAACAGCTTTATTCCAGTGACATCGAAACAACAAAAACCAGGAGAATTTGAAACCTTGAAAAATTGAGTAATTTGTGATTTTTGTGTGTCTTTTCTGTCAAACGAGGAACAGCTTTATTGGAGTGACATCGTGACAACAAAAAGCAGGAGACTTTGAAACCTTATTAACGAGGGGATTTGTAATTAAACAGCTTTATTCCAGTGACATCGAAACAACAAAAACCAGGAGAATTTGAAACCTTGAAAAATTGAGTAATTCGTGATTTTTGTGTGTCTTTTCTGTCAAACGAGGAACAGCTTTATTCGAGTGACATCGAAACAACAAAAAACAGGAGAATTTGAAACCTTATTAACGAGGGGATTTGTAATTAAACAGCTTTATTCCAGTGGCATCGAAACAACAAAAACCAGGAGAATTTGAAACCTTGAAAAATTGAGTAATTCGTGATTTTTGTGTGTCTTTTCTGTCAAACGAGGAACAGCTTTATTCGAGTGACATCGAAACAACAAAAAGCAGGAGAATTTGAAACCTTGTTAACGAGGGGATTTGTAATTAAACAGCTTTATTTCAGTGGCATCGAAACAACAAAAACCAGGAGAATTTGAAACCTTGAAAAATTGAGTAATTCGTGATTTTTGTGTGTCTTTTCTGTCAAACGAGGAACAGCTTTATTCGAGTGACATCGAGACAACAAAAAGCAGGAGAATTTGAAACCTTGTTAACGAGGGGATTTGTAATTAAACAGCTTTATTCCAGTGGCATCGAAACAACAAAAACCAGGAGAATTTGAAACCTTGAAAAATTGAGTAATTCGTGATTTTTGTGTGTCTTTTCTGCCAAACGAGGAACAGCTTTATTCGAGTGACATCGAAACAACAAAAAGCAGGAGAATTTGAAACCTTGTTAACGAGGGGATTTGTAATTAAACAGCTTTATTCCAGTGACATCGAAACAACAAAAACCAGGAGAATTTGAAACCTTGAAAAATTGAGTAATTCGTGATTTTTGTGTGTCTTTTCTGTCAAACGAGGAACAGCTTTATTCGAGTGACATCGAAACAACAAAAAGCAGGAGACTTTGAAACCTTATTAACGAGGGGATTTGTAATTAAACAGCTTTATTCCAGTGGCATCGAAACAACAAAAACCAGGAGAATTTGAAACCTTGAAAAATTGAGTAATTCGTGATTTTTGTGTGTCTTTTCTGTCAAACGAGGAACAGCTTTATTCGAGTGACATCGAGACAACAAAAAGCAGGAGAATTTGAAACCTTATTAACGAGGGGATTTGTAATTAAACAGCTTTATTCCAGTGACATCGAAACAACAAAAACCAGGAGAATTTGAAACCTTGAAAAATTGAGTAATTCGTGATTTTTGTGTGTCTTTTCTGTCAAACGAGGAACAGCTTTATTCGAGTGACATCGTGACAACAAAAAGCAGGAGACTTTGAAACCTTATTAACGAGGGGATTTGTAATTAAACAGCTTTATTCCAGTGACATCGAAACAACAAAAACCAGGAGAATTTGAAACCTTGAAAAATTGAGTAATTCGTGATTTTTGTGTGTCTTTTCTGTCAAACGAGGAACAGCTTTATTCGAGTGACATCGAAACAACAAAAAGCAGGAGAATTTGAAACCTTGTTAACGAGGGGATTTGTAATTAAACAGCTTTATTCCAGTGGCATCGAAACAACAAAAACCAGGAGAATTTGAAACCTTGAAAAATTGAGTAATTCGTGATTTTTGTGTGTCTTTTCTGTCAAACGAGGAACAGCTTTATTCGAGTGACATCGAAACAACAAAAAGCAGGAGAATTTGAAACCTTGTTAACGAGGGGATTTGTAATTAAACAGCTTTATTCCAGTGGCATCGAAACAACAAAAACCAGGAGAATTTGAAACCTTGAAAAATTGAGTAATTCGTGATTCTTGTGTGTCTTTTCTGTCAAACGAGGAACAGCTTTATTCGAGTGACATCGAAACAACAAAAAGCAGGAGAATTTGAAACCTTGTTAACGAGGGGATTTGTAATTAAACAGCTTTATTCCAGTGACATCGAAACAACAAAAACCAGGAGAATTTGAAACCTTGAAAAATTGAGTAATTCGTGATTTTTGTGTGTCTTTTCTGTCAAACGAGGAACAGCTTTATTCGAGTGACATCGAAACAACAAAAAGCAGGAGAATTTGAAACCTTGTTAACGAGGGGATTTGTAATTAAACAGCTTTATTCCAGTGGCATCGAAACAACAAAAACCAGGAGAATTTGAAACCTTGAAAAATTGAGTAATTCGTGATTTTTGTGTGTCTTTTCTGTCAAACGAGGAACAGCTTTATTCGAGTGACATCGAAACAACAAAAAGCAGGAGAATTTGAAACCTTGTTAACGAGGGGATTTGTAATTAAACAGCTTTATTCCAGTGACATCGAAACAACAAAAACCAGGAGAATTTGAAACCTTCAAAAATTGAGTAATTCGTGATTTTTGTGTGTCTTTTCTGTCAAACGAGAAACAGCTTTATTCGAGTGACATCGAAACAACAAAAAGCAGGAGAATTTGAAACCTTATTAACGAGGGGATTTGTAATTAAACAGCTTTATTCCAGTGACATCGAAACAACAAAAACCAGGAGAATTTGAAACCTTGAAAAATTGAGTAATTCGTGATTTTTGTGTGTCTTTTATGTCAAACGAGGAACAGCTTTATTCGAGTGACATCGAAACAACAAAAAGCAGGAGAATTTGAAACCTTGTTAACGAGGGGATTTGTAATTAAACAGCTTTATTCCAGTGACATCGAAACAACAAAAACCAGGAGAATTTGAAACCTTGAAAAATTGAGTAATTCGTGATTTTTGTGTGTCTTTTCTGTCAAACGAGGAACAGCTTTATTCGAGTGACATCGAAACAACAAAAAGCAGGAGAATTTGAAACCTTGTTAACGAGGGGATTTGTAATTAAACAGCTTTATTCCAGTGACATCGAAACAACAAAAACCAGGAGAATTTGAAACCTTGAAAAATTGAGTAATTCGTGATTTTTGTGTGTCTTTTCTGTCAAACGAGGAACAGCTTTATTCGAGTGACATCGAAACAACAAAAAGCAGGAGAATTTGAAACCTTATTAACGAGGGGATTTGTAATTAAACAGCTTTATTCCAGTGGCATCGAAACAACAAAAACCAGGAGAATTTGAAACCTTGAAAAATTGAGTAATTCGTGATTTTTGTGTGTCTTTTCTGTCAAACGAGGAACAGCTTTATTCGAGTGACATCGAAACAACAAAAAACAGGAGAATTTGAAACCTTATTAACGAGGGGATTTGTAATTAAACAGCTTTATTCCAGTGGCATCGAAACAACAAAAACCAGGAGAATTTGAAACCTTGAAAAATTGAGTAATTCGTGATTTTTGTGTGTCTTTTCTGTCAAACGAGGAACAGCTTTATTCGAGTGACATCGAAACAACAAAAAGCAGGAGAATTTGAAACCTTATTAACGAGGGGATTTGTAATTAAACAGCTTTATTCCAGTGACATCGAAACAACAAAAACCAGGAGAATTTGAAACCTTGAAAAATTGAGTAATTCGTGATTTTTGTGTGTCTTTTCTGTCAAACGAGGAACAGCTTTATTCGAGTGACATCGAAACAACAAAAAGCAGGAGAATTTGAAACCTTATTAACGAGGGGATTTGTAATTAAACAGCTTTATTCCAGTGACATCGAAACAACAAAAACCAGGAGAATTTGAAACCTTGAAAAATTGAGTAATTCGTGATTTTTGTGTGTCTTTTCTGTCAAACGAGGAACAGCTTTATTCGAGTGACATCGAAGCAACAAAAAGCAGGAGAATTTGAAACCTTGTTAACGAGGGGATTTGTAATTAAACAGCTTTATTCCAGTGACATCGAAACAACAAAAACCAGGAGAATTTGAAACCTTGAAAAATTGAGTAATTCGTGATTTTTGTGTGTCTTTTCTGCCAAACGAGGAACAGCTTTATTCCAGTGACATCGAAACAACAAAAAGCAGGAGAATTTGAAACCTTATTAACGAGGGGATTTGTAATTAAACAGCTTTATTCCAGTGGCATCGAAACAACAAAAACCAGGAGAATTTGAAACCTTGAAAAATTGAGTAATTCGTGATTTTTGTGTGTCTTTTCTGTCAAACGAGGAACAGCTTTATTGGAGTGACATCGTGACAACAAAAAGCAGGAGACTTTGAAACCTTATTAACGAGGGGATTTGTAATTAAACAGCTTTATTCCAGTGACATCGAAACAACAAAAACCAGGAGAATTTGAAACCTTGAAAAATTGAGTAATTCGTGATTTTTGTGTGTCTTTTCTGTCAAACGAGGAACAGCTTTATTCGAGTGACATCGAAACAACAAAAAGCAGGAGAATTTGAAACCTTGTTAACGAGGGGATTTGTAATTAAACAGCTTTATTCCAGTGGCATCGAAACAACAAAAACCAGGAGAATTTGAAACCTTGAAAAATTGAGTAATTCGTGATTTTTGTGTGTCTTTTCTGTCAAACGAGGAACAGCTTTATTCGAGTGACATCGAAACAACAAAAAGCAGGAGAATTTGAAACCTTGTTAACGAGGGGATTTGTAATTAAACAGCTTTATTCCAGTGGCATCGAAACAACAAAAACCAGGAGAATTTGAAACCTTGAAAAATTGAGTAATTCGTGATTTTTGTGTGTCTTTTCTGCCAAACGAGGAACAGCTTTATTCGAGTGACATCGAAACAACAAAAAGCAGGAGAATTTGAAACCTTGTTAACGAGGGGATTTGTAATTAAACAGCTTTATTCCAGTGACATCGAAACAACAAAAACCAGGAGAATTTGAAACCTTGAAAAATTGAGTAATTCGTGATTTTTGTGTGTCTTTTCTGTCAAACGAGGAACAGCTTTATTCCAGTGACATCGAAACAACAAAAAGCAGGAGAATTTGAAACCTTATTAACGAGGGGATTTGTAATTAAACAGCTTTATTCCAGTGACATCGAAACAACAAAAACCAGGAGAATTTGAAACCTTGAAAAATTGAGTAATTCGTGATTTTTGTGTGTCTTTTCTGCCAAACGAGGAACAGCTTTATTCCAGTGACATCGAAACAACAAAAAGCAGGAGAATTTGAAACCTTATTAACGAGGGGATTTGTAATTAAACAGCTTTATTCCAGTGACATCGAAACAACAAAAACCAGGAGAATTTGAAACCTTGAAAAATTGAGTAATTCGTGATTTTTGTGTGTCTTTTCTGTCAAACGAGGAACAGCTTTATTCGAGTGACATCGTGACAACAAAAAGCAGGAGACTTTGAAACCTTATTAACGAGGGGATTTGTAATTAAACAGCTTTATTCCAGTGACATCGAAACAACAAAAACCAGGAGAATTTGAAACCTTCAAAAATTGAGTAATTCGTGATTTTTGTGTGTCTTTTCTGTCAAACGCGGAACAGCTTTATTCGAGTGACATCGAGAGAAGAAAAAGCAGGAGAATTTGAAACCTTATTAACAAGGGGATTTGTAATTAAACGTGGCGACCGATTACTGGTTACCGAACACCAGCAGCTTAACATAGCAACAAGATCGATGGTGATTGAAACGTCGGGTTTATATAAGTTTCAGACGCCTGAGCGCTTATTACCGCCACGATATCCGTATTGCCTCGCCAATCTATAATAATTGCAAATTGATTGTTAATTACGCGCATTCCGTGGCAAGAAGTCCAGCATCGTAACAGTGCTATCTATAACGAGCAGGTGCATTGATCTCGGGACAAACAAAATAATTAATCGAGGTAAACAAGGCGACATCGAGAACACAATACAAACGTTAATTATTATCATTTTACGAGCTGTAATAAACGAAATATTGAAAGTGTACTCAAATGAAAGAACAAAATTTTTAGATTATTTATCGATCTTTCATCTTTTTACACAATTATTATGTAAACAATACCCTTGACTTAAACTTACGTAAAAAGAAAAAATAAAACCTGAATTTCTCGTTTTCTGACTAATTTATTCGAATTGAAATATGAATTTGTTTAGACAATGCCCACGACTAAAAATACTGTTGTTTGTTCGAAAAATTGGTTGAATGTTTATCAGAAAGTTGTATAATTTAATATTTTGTAGCCTTTTTCCCACGTTAGCGACATGACACATTTATTATTTTCGTCTTCGTTCAAAGTTATTCGTTTCGACGAGGAAAAAGAGAAACAAATGATTTAATCTGAACGTCAAAGTCAGCGTGCAACTGTATCTAATGATGCCAACTTGGGAATAATCGGTTACTGCTCCATTATTAACATAGTCTTACGGATAGTCAGTTTGACAGGTCTCGGATCCCATGATTACAGTGACAGGATTCATAAATAACATTTGTTGGCAATTTATGTTGAATTTGATTAATGCAACGGTACGAATACGTATTTTTTATTTTTAAAAAAACATATTTCAATGCAGATGCCAATATGACAAGCTTCAATAAAGATTATAATGTTAAATTATGATGTTATATTACAAAATTTGACAGAGAAACTAAATGATATAAAAACGAAGATTTTTCAATTAATTCGCCATTATGAATCAGCTAATAATTATTCAAAACAACTTCTATTGTAATTAATTTGTACATAAATGATTCTTTGCAACTTCTGTTCAACTTACAAACAAAGTTTTTATCAAAAGGGTTATTAATTCATTATTTATCTGAATTTAGTTATTAGAATTCTGTATTTGATCAAATTCTTGTATAATTCTACCTTGTTCACGATTAGTATGACTTTTAGCATACACGTGTTCTTTAACGTGAAGCCACAAAAAAAAATGCTAGCAAAGAATTCTTGAAAATGAAATGGGCAAATAAATAATCGTTATTCTGTCTTTTTGATTCATTTTTTCGTAAGAATTTGTCAAATTTTTTCGTTTATTTCAATAAAATACAGGGTCAAAGACAATTTTTTAAAATGAAATAAAATAAAAATATTGGTATTCTATTTTTCTGATTTATTTTTCCATAAGAAATCAGAATTCTATATTTTTCATTTATTTTTTAGAAGAAATTTGAATAAAATAGTAGAATTAGAGGAAATGAAACGACAAAGAAAATTCTTAAAAATGAAACGACAAAGAAAACTTCTTAAAAATGAAACGACAAAGAAGAAATCGGTATTCTATATATTTTTGATTTATTTTTTATAAGGAATTTGAATAAAATAGTAGGATTAAAGAAAATGAAACGACAAAGAAAATTCTTATAAATGAAATGACAAAGAAAACATTTTAAAATGAAACGACAAAGAAGAAATCGGTATTCTATATATTTTTGATTTATTTTTTATAAGGAATTTGAATAAAATAGTAGGGTTAAAGGAAATGAAACGACAAAGAAAATTCATAAAAATGAAACTACAAAGAAAATTATTTAAAATGAAACAGCAAACAAACGAATAGTTATTCTATATTTTTGATTAATTTTTTCATAAGAAATTCGAACAGAATATTAGCATTAAAAGAAATGAAACGACAAAGAAGAAATCGGTATTCGACATTTTTGATTTATTTTTTATAAGGAATTTGAATAAAATAGTAAGGTCAAAGAAACTTAAACGAAATAATTCTTAAAAATGGAGCAACAAGGACAATTTTTTTAAAATGAAACGTCAAATAAAAAATTGTTTATCTATATTTTTTGATAAATAATTCGAACCTGTGCGAAGTCTTCTTCGCCGCCGCTGCTATTGTCTTCGCAATCGGACCCGTTCAGGATCGCGCGACGATTCCTCTTGAGATTCATCATCTGATAGCGACTCCTGGTGCGCGACGCACCCTCCTTCAAATTGTAGGGCGCGCGGGATGGCACGTAACGATGATGACCGGCCGACAGCACTTTGTACAGCACCTGAAGACAATACGAAACGATACCTTTTGTAATTATAATGCGACCGTGCCGGTGAAAGCCGCTCCTCCGTTCGCGAGGATTCGCATAATACGCGTATCCGTCGACGCTGCAACCTCGTCTTTGTCGCACCGCTGATGCTCAATGCAAATTAGGCTTGCAAATCCTCGCAAATATGATTCACGCTCGCTTTGACGCCAAAAAAAAAAATTACGACCAAGCGTGTGGTGCAATTACAACGTTGTGTACATTTCAAACGTGATTCGATTCTACGTGGCGAATTTGTTAGGCAAATTGGACGCCGTTTGTTACCGTTTCGCCTCTTAACATTCTAAATCTCTCGCGTCACGTTGCGAAGACAACGAAAGAAACTCAGAATTTTCTACGAAACCACACAAAACGTTTTTCATTTGAAAATTTTACAGAAAAAAGAATCATCCACGAAGTGACGATCTTCTTGTGTGTTGTTTTCCAGTTGATAAAAGCAGTTTAAACTGTCAAATATTCAACCACTGTGCTCAAACACGCCTCAACATTGAGTACACAACATCCACGAATGTCTTGTGATTCAATCTGGTAGGATTCTATCTACATGTGTTCACATTGAGTAGAAAATTTGCACAGTTAAATAGGAAAAGACTCACAAAATGAAGCAATACAGAATTTTCCAGTTGATAAAAGCAGTTTATACTGTCAAATATTCAACCACTGTGCTCAAACACGCCTCAACAATGAGCACACAACATCCACGAATGTCTTGTGATTCAATCTGGTAGGATTCTATCTACATGTGTTCACATTGAGTAGAAAATTTGCACAGTTAAATAGGAAAAGACTCACAAAATGAAGCAATACAGAATTTTCCAGTTGATAAAAGCAGTTTATACTGTCAAATATTCAACCACTGTGCTCAAACACGCTTCAACAATGAGCACACAACATCCACGAATGTCTTGTGATTCAATCTGGTAGGATTCTATCTACATGTGTTCACATTGAGTAGAAAATTTGCATAGTTAAATAGGAAAAGACTCACAAAATGAAGCAATACAGAATTTTCCAGTTGATAAAAGCAGTTTAAACTGTCAAATATTCAACCACTGTGCTCAAACACGCCTCAACAATGAGCACACAACATCCACGAATGTCTTGTGATTCAATCTGGTAGGATTCTATCTACATGTGTTCACATTGAGTAGAAAATTTGCATAGTTAAATAGGAAAAGACTCACAAAATGAAGCAATACAGAATTTTCCAGTTGATAAAAGCAGTTTAAACTGTCAAATATTCAACCACTGTGCTCAAACACGCTTCAACAATGAGCACACAACATCCACGAATGTCTTGTGATTCAATCTGGTAGGATTCTATCTACATGTGTTCACATTGAGTAGAAAATTTGCATAGTTAAATAGGAAAAGACTCACAAAATGAAGCAATACAGAATTTTCCAGTTGATAAAAGCAGTTTAAACTGTCAAATATTCAACCACTGTGCTCAAACACGCTTCAACATTGAGTACACAACATCCACGAATGTCTTGTGATTCAATCTGGTAGGATTCTATCTACATGTGTTCACATTGAGTAGAAAATTTGCATAGTTAAATAGGAAAAGACTCACAAAATGAAGCAATACAGAATTTTCCAGTTGATAAAAGCAGTTTAAACTGTCAAATATTCAACCACTGTGCTCAAACACGCTTCAACATTGAGTACACAACATCCACGAATGTCTTGTGATTCAATCTGGTAGGATTCTATCTACATGTGTTCACATTGAGTAGAAAATTTGCACAGTTAAATAGGAAAAGACTCACAAAATGAAGCAATACAGAATTTACAAATGTTTCACTCTGTAGTATATTATAAATAATTTAATATGTATTTCCCTTTAAAGATACCTCAATTTTGTACAAAACATTCCTCTCGATCAATCTAAATTGCAACTATTCAAGCACAATTAAATTTCTTTCGTTAATGTGGGATAAAGATTTATCATTACGCAAGATGTCCATTTATCATACGGAATATCTTCTCATTGTTATTTAATCGAGAGTCTCACGTTTTGAGAAAACATTATTAGACGTTTTGCGGAACACGAACAAAAAATGTTATTTCGAAACTCGCGTAATTGCTTGATTATGCCTTCTATAAAATTGATCTTTCTCTGAGAGTTTCGAATATTCTGTAATTTGATCGTTGATGGACGGTAGGAAATCCGCAAAATTTCATGGGACTTTACGCAACTTCCTGTCGGGTCGCGTCCGGAACATTTTCACCTGAAGAAAGTACTCAGCCAACGGGCTTCGCATTGTTTGCCCTACGGCAGGAACGCTACGCGAAAAGAATGATGCCTCGATCTTACATAAGTACCGGTGCAGCTTGCGTCAATGATTCCAGCCGGCTCTCCGGTTACATAATCACCGTTCAGAATTCAATTTGTCTCGAAGTACCTAGCGTTCGTGCGTTCGTACATCAAATTCCAACCGACCAACTCATCACCCGTTCGCGTGATCGCCATTAACCCTTAAAAGGGTACATTTCAGACGAATTACGTAATCCAGTTCAACCTTCCAACAAAGAAAAAACCTCGAATCACCATTGAATTCCTTTCTTATTTAAACAAACACCACATTTATGTAACAATTAATAAAAAATAATTATCAATCACAAAGATACGACGCTGAGTTTATTGATGGATCTAGAATAGCTTAAAGAGGGGGAAAAAAATTGCAAAAAAACATTTGATATTTCCAGAATTTGAGAATTTCAACACTAACAAATTATAAATAGAAATAGAAATTTTTTGAAACGATTAAAATTCACATAACACATTTTTTTGGTTAATAGCTTCTCATTCTTCGAGAACAAATGTTGTTAATTTCAGCTCGAATTTGTAAAAACATGTTTGCGAATAAAATGGCGACCAACTAAAAACACTTTGCAAATAGATTGATTTGAAACAAATTTTAATCGATGTTGAAAATTAAATTGTTACTATTTCTTGTTTCAATGGGTTAATTTTTCGTATCTATTTGAATTTTTTTCTCGAAAGTGGATAGGATTTCGAGGGTACGTGTAATGACCAAAAATGATTGCAATTGACCCCTGCGACCGAAAATAATTTATTTAGGCCGATTTGAAAAATTTTTTTTTCGACCAAAATATTCAGCTTCTATTCGAATTTTTTTCTCGAAAGAGGATAGGATTTCAAGGGTATGTCTATTCACAAAAAATGATCATAATTGACCCCTGCAACTGAAAATAATTTTTCTATAACGATTTGAAAATTTTTAATTTTGTCAAAAGTTTTACACCTTCTTGAATTTTTTTCTAGAAAATGGGCAGGATTTGGGTGATATGCCTATTGACCTAAAATGATTGCAATTGACCCCCGCAACTAAAAATAATTTTTTCAAAATGATATGAAATTTTCTTTTTCGCCGAAAAATTTTACATGTTCTCGAATTTTTTTCTCGAAAACGGTTAAGATTTCGGGGGTATGTCTATTCACCAAAAATGCTTGTAATTGACCCCCGGAACCTAAAATAATTTTTTCAGAGTGATTTGAAATTTTTTAATTTTGCCAAAAAATTGTCCATCTACTCGAATTTTTTTCTCGAAAATGCCTAGGATTTCGAGGGTATATGTATCGACACAAAATGGTTGTAATTGACCTCCCTAGCTAAAAATATTTTTTTTAGAACGATTTGGAAATTCTTTTTTTTTTGCCGAATTTAGGCTGTCGATTTTTCTTAAAAATTCGTTTTTGATTTTTAGTCACTTTGTTTGGCGCCCTACGGAAAAGTTGTCTAATACTTTTTTGTAGGTACCTATGAGCTCTACTTCAGAAAAAAGTTTCATTGAAATATATTCGCTATTGCAGGAGTTATGGCTGTTTGAAAATTGGACCATTTTTATTGGGGGTTTTCTCATTTTGCGGGTTCAAGGATCAACTTTTCGAATATTTTTGCGATTTGTACATATTCTCTACTAAAATACGCGTTGTTTGCTTTTTTAAACATTAAAATCCTTCAATCCGTTCAGAAGTTATGATGTTTTAAAGATACGCAAGAAATTCTCACTCTCTCTTTCACGTTGAAAATTAAAATGTTACTATTTCTTGTTTCAATGGGGTTAAAATTCACCGTAAAAATGCACGTCTCACGTACAACGTCGTATCTCCATTATTTAGTAATTATTCGATTCTTTTTATCTTTTCTGCAATTTTCTTTTTTATTCCATTTTGATATATTTTCTTTGTTATGCTTGTGTAGGTGTTTCCAGATTAAAAACGAGATGCTAAAAATACGCGTTATGCTCGATGAGACGCATAATATTACGCTTTAGATGGATATGGCGTTCTTCCTTCAGACGTGGATAAAAGGCATCTCACGAAACGAATGAATGTCGTTAATTAGTATTCTAGAAATCATTGTGGACTGCGCAATATTCAGTATAGTATCAGTTTATAGTCTTCATCCTTCTTCAGGTCGAAGTAGAAAGGTACACATTTCACCTGTCATGTGTGGAAGTAGGATCCATACTGACAATCGTCTAATAATACGTGTTAATACGTTGAATCATCATACATTTCGAATTTATAAAATACAACGAATTAAACCTAATAGTAATATTTTGAATAACGTTACTGTCATTAGAAATACTGCAAAATGTTAAATACATCATTGAACTTACAAATGTGCATATTTTTTACACTATAATTCAAGTAAATTCGAAAATATGCAAAAATAACGCGACAGTAAACGTGTATGAAAGGTTCTTTTATTTTCGGAATAAATTTCGAAATTTTACGTAAGAATATTTTCAGAAAATATTACGTTCGAACCTTGAAAATTGAACATTGTCATTACCAGTCATTAGGTTTAATTCCCACTTTTATAAACTAAGAACTTGTACGTATAATGCAAAAATAAAAACAAAGGTGTTGGTAAATTGATCGATAAAATGAAATATCACACTTAATTCATTAACACTTTACCGACCGATAGCCTATTAATCGACTGTTTTACCGACCAACGCTTACCGACCGATGGCCTATTTTAATCAACTGTTTTACCGACGCTTACCGACCGGTAGCGATTGATTAATCGGCTATCGGTCGGTAAAGTGTTAAGAGTAAAAAATATTGCTTGAACTGCTAATTAACAACGATTTAAGATGAAGTATAGCGATGCAAATATTCCACATGTTCTCGATAATATTACAATGTATTAAACACGAAGAATTACACCTTCGAAAGACTATTAAGAAAACAATTTGTCAACAAATCATTCCATAATAAAAGGACCATTCAAAAATAAAAATTAATTCTATAATTCTATAATTGTGTATGATCGTATCGTGTGTTAGATCTGATAGTTGTCGAGTGACTCGTAACTCAAAAATAGAGACTGAACGAGGAATGAACGATAACCGCGATTTAAAGACTCGAACGTATCGAGTTGCGAGTAATTACAGCGTGGCCTTACCTTGAGCGTGCAACTATACTATCCTTGGGTCACTCACCTGGAGTCTCATTGGATCACAAGATCGTTGCATCGATCGCTACGACGGCGCAGAGAGGCCAGCAGGAAAATAAATTTCCTTTTTTTTTTTTCGTTCCAGCTATTTTATTTCTTTTTTTTTTTTTCTGTTGCTCGCGTAGGTGCACCGCGGAATCGCTGGTTTATTATATAATAAGGCATTGAGTCGTCGACGTTGGCCGCTCTGACGCCCCGTGTTATTCATGAAAGTCAATTCGCGGAATATTTATTCCCGACTTGGCTCATTCATCTTCCGCCTACGTCGGTAATACGAAACGCGCGATTATTTGCGCGCGGAACGAAGAAAAAAGAAGGAATTTCGATGAAAATCAAACTTATCGTTATTTCGTCGTTCACGAAGTTGAAAGAAGTATCTCAAAACCTGTAACGTTATCAGCTTCGTGGAACGTGGTTATTATGGTCGTCACGATTCCTTCTCGTAGATCCAGATTTAATCAGATTTAATTAACCCTTTGATTTCCAGTGGGACTCCGCGAGTTCTTCTAATTAAAGGTGACTGTTGCGTAAGCAATGCATGTACGTGTGCACTTGACTCTAATGTGGTCTGATAAGCTCATGGAAAGAGTGAAATCGAGTATACTTTTATACGAATCACTTTATCTGAGACAGGTTTTGAAACCATTAATTGAATTAAAAAAAAGTGATAATAATTGGGGGGAAAAGATTTGCTCGATAGTTGTGTTTGCATGAAATTTCTGTTTGCAAATTTATGGTAGAAGTCTTTAATATTTAACCTGTCAAGTTTACGAAATTTCTGCTATAAATGGAAGAATTTCTGTTTTATAATACCAGAAACAGTTGCTTCTGGGGGCCAATGTTTAGTAATGCTTCGTGTAATTTAACACTTTACCGACCGGTAACGGTTGATAAATCGGCTATCGGTCGGTAAGCGTTGGCCGGTAAAACAGTTGATCGATAGGCTCTCAGCCGGTAAGCGTTGGTCGGTAAAACAGTCGATTAATAGGCTATCGGTCGGTAAAGTGTTAATAAATAGTACAAGTTATATATTTATTCAACGTCTGACGTTAAATTTCCTTAAAAGTGCCTTTTGTAGTTTTTGTAATTTTGAATGAAATCACTTTTGATCACTTTTATCATTCCCTCCACGTCTGTCGTTAAATTTCTCTTCGTTTGACATTGAATTTCACGCCTTTTGTAGTTTTTGTAATTTTTAATGAAAAATAATTAAATTAAAATTCCTCTCGCGTTTATCATTCTGTTTAATATTCATAATAATGAGTAACATTTGCAGAAATATCGAAATGAGTAATAGAGAGGTTTCGAGAGATCGAGAGCGGAGAGCAGAGAGATCTTTCTCGTAACAAATAGTACACTCTCTTCGAATAGTATAGTTACTAGCGAGTGGTTATCATTGCCCTGGCACGGGTCACTCACCTGACGACTATCATAGCGAGTCATTAAGCTATACCACTAGCAGTACCGGAAATGCCGTCGTGCACAGACGTCCACTTCTTTTGTGTACGTTCCTGACTCTGGTACAATATCTTGATCTCCCTCTCTTTTCACTCTCTCTCTCTCTTGCTCGTTTGTACCGTTCGTTTATGTACTCTCTGTTTACACAACGCCACCACGTCGAAATTAGTATGAATGCTAATGGGGGTTTCCTACGACGATGCAACAACTGCAACGTTAGAGAATTTCCTTGCTCGTTACGTTTAAATAAAAATGTTCTCGAAACTTGTCGTTAAAGCAAAATTCATTTCTATTCCGATGGAATTTCAAAGAAATTTCTCAAAAAAATATTGTTTATTTATTGTAGGTAAGAGTAACCATTATGAATGATTAAATTTCCTTTTTGATTAGAGTAACCATTATCGATGGAATATGTTATATGTATATTTTATGATGTATCTGGTATATTTGCATATGCTTCTTCATATTTACAGGTCATTTTTCTTAATATTTGGAGGTCCAAAAACTGACATAGGGGAGCAATATAAAACTTTGTACTTTCCATACAATAACAACAACAACAACATCAACATCAACAAGAAGAACAACAACAGCAAGAAGAAGAAGAAGAACAACAACAACAACAACATCAACATCATCATCAACAAGAACAACAACATCAACATCAACAACAAGAAGAAGAACAACAACAACAACATCAACATCATCATCAACAACATCAACAAGAACAACAAGAACACCAACAAGAACAACAACAATAATAATAATGTCAAAAACACAAAGAGAAGAAGTACAATAAAGGACCAAGATTTGACTGTTTAAGATCTTTAATAAGAAATATACCAAAAAATATTAATTTTTATTTATTCTAGGTAAGAATAACCATTATGAATGATTAAATTTCTTTTTTTGATTACAGTAACCATTATCGATGCAATATGTTATATGTATAGTCGATGTATCTGGTATATTTGCATATGTTTCTCTATATTTACAAGTAATTTTTCTAAATATTCGAAGGTCCAAACACTGACATAGAAGAACAATACAATACTTTGATTGTATGAACGAGAAAAGTGTGTAATATATGTTTTTATAATAATAATGTCAAAAACACAAAGAAAAAAAGTACAATAAAGGACCAAGATTTGACTGTTTAAGATCTTTAACAAGAAATCACCAAAAAATATTAATTTTTATTTATTGTGGTTACGAATAGCCATTATGAATGATTAAATTTCCTTTTTGATTACAGTAACCATTATCTATGCAATATGTTATATGTATAGTCGATGTATTTGGTATATTTTCATATGTTTCTCTATATTTAAAGTCCAAAAACTGATATAGGAGAGCAATATAAAACTTTGATTGTACTTTTCATACATCAACAACAACAACAACAACAACAACAACAACAACAGAAATAGCAGCAACAGCAACAGCAACAGCAACAACAACAACAACAGCAACAGAAATAGCAGCAACAGCAACATCAACAGCAACATCAACAACAACAATAATAATAACAACAACAGCAACAATAACAACAACAACAATAATAATAATAATAATGCCAAAAACACAAAGAAAAGAAGTACAATAAAGGACCAAAATTTGACTATTTAAAATTTGACTATCTTTCTTAACAATAAATAGTATTTAAGATAAAACTCTGCAATAATCAGGAATTCAATTTCAAAATATCACAGAATCAACACGTACATATACACACCATACATACAAACAACAACAACAACAACAACAACAACAGAAATAGCAGCAACAGCAACAACAACAACAACAGCAACAGAAATAGCAGCAACATCAACAGCAACAGCAACAACAACAATAATAATAATAACAACAACAGCAACAACAGCAACAATAACAATAATAATAATAATAATGTCAAAACACAAAGAAAAGAAGTACAATAAAGGACCAAGATTTGACTGTTTTAAGATCCTTAACAATAAATAGTATTTAAGATAAAACTCTGCAAAAATCAGGAATTCAATTTCAAAATATCACAAAATCAACACACACCAGAGAAGAACTCACATAATCGTGCAAATACTAATAAATACACATAGTTATTTAATTAACCACCAAGATATGAAAACTAAAAATCATACACAATCACAACAATGTATCCCTAACACGAAGGACGATATTTAACGCTGCTGTTATTAAACCTAACACATATCAACGCGCCAATTTACATACATCGAGTAGAATAATTCGTTCCTGAAGAGCATAAAATCAGTTTTTTTCAACATCGTAGATTTGGTTCACGTGAACCAACCACGAGATAGGAAACGAAAGGGTTATCTACAGTGTAACATTTACGTCCATGTAAGAGTCAACATACCTTGATCAATTCGTGACGTACAGCTTGAGGATTCTTGTCGATAGCCACGCTGATGCAAATGGCGAACAGCGCTTCTTCGTGCCTGCCCAGCGCTGATAAAGCCACCCCTCTTCTGTAATGCCCCTGTCGATGAACACGTAACACTTAGAACACCAGAGCAGAACACATCCATTCGAAATATTAACACTTATTAATCAGTATATTTTGACTAGACTTGCGATAAATCGAAATTTTACTACAAGTAAACCAAACGATTGGCAAATTAAAATTAATAGAATTCATTTCATTTTAACACTTTACCGACCGGTAGCGGTTGATTAGTCGGCTATCGGTCGGTAAACGTCGACCGATAAAACAGTCGATTAATAGCCAATCGGTCGGTAAGCGTTGGCCGGTAAAACAGTCGATTAATAGGCTATCGGTCGGCAAAGTGTTAAATCATTTTTCAAACATACACTATTTAATTCTGTTTAAATTTCTGCACTACAAGGAAAATAGATTTGGTTTACGAACACCTCGTCAATATAAAAATGTGTTCAATTGATAAGATTGGATGACGAGTGAGTATTATAATTGTAAAACTTGACGTCAAGAATTCGTGACGAGTCAGAGTCCTCATTGTGTGGCAAGGGGCTAATAAAGACTTTCATTTGCACTATTTACATTGCTGTACTATGATTCGTAATAGTAACAATTCATAATTAATGAAAGTTCATGAGGGATCGAAGAGAGAGACTCTTCTTTTCCTAACGATCATCAATCCATAAACAATAGATTTTCAAAATGTTTGACAAATGGTAACCATCACAAAGTTGTAACGTAATTTATAAAATAGGTTGAAATATAACGTGTTATACTTTTAGAGCAAAGCAATTATTAAAGGGTGAATCGATGAACACAGGTAGCATTTGCAACTTGATTACAGGAACCCCGTTCTAACCAAATCTGATAAAAATGGCGGTACGAGGAGGAAACCACTGATTTGTCGCATTCCACGTCGAGGTGGTCTGGGTCAGAGGTCAGGTTTAGCCCTTAGATTTGGGTTAGGGATACCACGCTGTCGCGTTGTGGGTTGGACCAGGATTGGGTTAAGGGTACGCCGGCCATGTGATCGAAGACCGTGCCAAGTGGGAGAAACCAACCCCCCTGCCATGGCTCTCGTGCGATAGATTCGACCGTACCTACTGTTACGCCTCTATTTTCTACGAAATATCTTCCACGAGCTGTGTTACGTGTGCCTCTGAATAACGGGAGTCGTTTACGGTTCGCGCGCGATGAGTCTCCGTACTTTCTACTTGTGTTCTGTTAAATGGTGATTGAACCATTAAAAATGTACATTGACGCTCGAATATTTTACAATAATTAATTTAAACATGAATCGAACACCTTAAAATCGTATACAACTGGTTTTGTTATCATTTGCTTCCTTTTGTATCACAATTTTCTACAACTTCGTCGAAATATCAATAAGAGTGCAAATTGTAAATAGTGGGGAGAACAGAGACTGGTGAAATTCATTTCTGCCTGAAAATTGTAGGTCTAATTATTGAAACAGAACAGAAAGTTCACGAACGAAAGCTCCTACTTGTCTGGTTCTGTATTCCGTTGCGATATTACTTAAACGCTGGTGCATAAAGCTAGTTTATTGCTCTCTTCTTTAGCGTAGAAAATTGTTACGTTATTTACCAAGGTTTCTCCATCCAATGTTCGTGTTTCTGTAATGTAAGTATTTTTTACAGTACAGAGGATGGTTTTAATAACGAGCTATAACTCTGTTTCTAGTGAAATTAGAACGACATTATAGAAAACTAAACTGTTTAATGCAAAATGCAGTTAGTCTATATATTTAAATTATTTATAATAATAATAACCTGGGAAAAATTTTAATGGGAGAATCTAGAGGCCAAAATAAGACGAAAATATAGGATACTAATTTGTTGATTGAGGCTTCGTTAAAAAGTTATTGAAACATTTTCGACCACACGGTATATTTTCGGCAAAGAATTTTTTTTCTCGAAAGTGGATAGAATTTCGAGGGTATGTCTAATGACCAAAAATTATTGTAATTGACCCTCGAAACCGAAAATAATTTTTTCAGATCGATTTGAAATTTTTTAATTTTGCCAAAAAATTTCACACATTCTCCAATTTTTTTCTCGAATGTGGATAGGATTTCGAGGGTATGTGTAATGACCAAAAATGATTGCAATTGACCCCTGCAATCGAAAATAATTTATTTAGGCCGATTTGAAAAATTTTTTTTTCGCCAAAATATTCAGTATCTATTAGAATTTTTTTCTCGAAAATGGTTAGGATTTCGGGGGTATGTCTATTAACCAAAAATTATTGCAATCGACCCCCGCAACTAGAAATAATTTTTCCAGAACGATTTGAAATTTTTCAATTTTGTCGAAAAATTTCACACCTTCATGAATTTTTTTCTCGAAAATGGTTAGGATTTCGGGGATATGTCTATTCACCAGAAATGCTTGTAATTGACTCCCGGGACCTAAAATAATTTTTTCAGAATGATTTGAAATTTTTTAATTTTGTTGACTAATTTGTCCCCCTCCCTGAATTTTTTCCTCGAAAATGGTTAGAATTTCAAGGATATGTCTATTCACCAAAAATGATTGTACTTGGCCCTCACAGCTAAAAATAATTTTTTCAGAACGATTTGAAATTTTTCTTTTTTGTCGAAAAATTTCAGCAAGCTACTCTCTCGATTTTTCTTAGAAATTCGTTTTTCATTTTTAATAAATTTGTTTGCCGCTGTACGGAAATTTTGTCTAATACTTTTTTGTAGGTGCCCATCAGCTCTACTTCAGAAAAAAGTTTCATTAAAATATATTCACTATTGTAAGAGTTATGGCTGTTTGAAAATTGGACCACTTTTACTGGGGTTTTTCTCATTTTGCGGGTTGAAGGATCAACTTTTCAATATTTTTGCAATTTCTACATATTCTCCACTAAAATACGCGTTGTTTGCTTTTTTAAACATTAAAATCCTTCAATCCGTTCAAAAGTTATGGCGTTTTAAAGATACGCAAGAAATTCTCGAGTGACATTTCTGGCCTGAAATGATATTTTCGATAAGTAATTTTTTTCTCAATAATGGTTAATATTTCGAGGTTATGTCTCTTCTCCAAAAATGCTTGTAATTGACCCTCGGAACCAAAAATAATTTTTTCAAAACGATTTGAAATTTTTCAATTTTGTCGAAAAATTTCACACCTTCATGAATTTTTTTCTCCAAAATGGTTAGGAATTTGAGGTTATGCCTCTTCACCAAAAATGCTTGTAATTGACCCCCGGAACCAAAAATAATTTTTTCAAAACGGTTTGAAATTTTTCAATTTTGTCGAAAAATTTCACATGTTCTTGAATTTTTTTCTCGAAAATTGTTAGGATTTCGAGGTTATGTCTCTTCACCAAAAATGCTTGTAATTGACCCCCGGAACCAAAAATAATTTTTTCAAAACGGTTTGAAATTTTTCAATTTTGTCGAAAAATTTCACATGTTCTCGAATTTTTTTCTCGAAAATGGTTAGGATTTCGAAGATATCTGTAATGACCAAAAATAATTATCATTGACCCCTGTAACTAAATATAATTTTTTTAGTATAATCTGAAAATTGTTAATAACTTTTTAACGAAGCCTCAATCAACAAATTAATATTCTCGATTTTCATCTTATTTTGGCTTTTGAAATTTTTTTCCAGAGCTGGCCGAACACCCTGCATAAGTATTATTTATTTAAAGGAAAGGTGATCATAGAAAAATAAATATCAATGATTGATGAAATACTTGTCTCAGGAAATATTGTTTAAAATCGGTTTAAAAAGTGCTGTATGGTTGGCCCAATTTCTAGAATCGCCCCGTGCAGTTGCAAATGCATTATGTGTGCGCGAGCACCGACGCAAACGATGCATAAAGGAAGACAGAACCGCATAAGTGGCTCCGCCCGTAGACAGGAGTGCATTAAGTGAGTTTCATTCCTGACATAATTACGTTTCAAGCTTGCAGTATCAAAGTGCAGGGAGAAAATTACGAAGGAAACTGTAGAACTTCTCCAAAGTTCACGTACAATACTAAGAAAACAAATATCAAAAGAATTCAACTTTAGATTTCACGATGATTTCTGAGTGTCAATTTTTCGACACTCTTAATCGATAAATCTCCACTAAACACGTTTTATGATTTGAAATGAGTTCTCATTTGATTTAGAAGAGGATAGATAAGCTTCTTGTTTGCACGAAACATAATTTTGTCACAAAAATGACCGCAGAAAACGGAGATTCTCACCTTGCCCCAATCCGGTCGAAGCCTAACAGCATGATCAGCGTCCGTGAGGGAGGCTTGAGGCCTGTTCAGTAGAAGCAAGACGTGAGCCCTGTTGCTAAGATGAAGTGGGCTGTTTGGCGCTGAAACAAGAGAAAACACGTCCGTAAAGCATTGGTAAAATGTTAGCGGCGATGAGCGGGGGAGTTTGGCAAGAAAACCGTCCCTCGTGTTTAACGAGAACCTTTTCTCTCCGATCGAATCGAGGGAAGGATTTCACATTACCAAGGAGTAGACTCTCCAGGTCTAGAATCTCTTTGATACATTCCTGCATTCCCGAGAGCTCTCAAACATTTCGCGGAAAAGTGGCTTTCGAAGCTCCTGCGATGGAAATCTTCTTCCCGTTTAAACGAACAATTCTCAACTTCAAATCCCTAACTTCGATATTCTACAAGTTCACCCTTAACACTTTACCGACATGTAGCGGTTGATTAATCGGCTATCGGTCGGTAAGCGTTGGTCGGTAAAGAAGTTGAGTAATACGCTATCGGTCGGTAAGCGTTGGTCGGTAAAGAAGTTGATTAATACGCTATCGGTCGGTAAGTGTTGGCCGGTAAAACAGTCGATTAATATCGGTCGGTAATGTGTTAAGTTTCTCCAAGTTTCGTAGATAGATTCAAGTTTAATTTTGTACGAAAATTAATCTCTTGCATGATCTTACATAGCATTATCTATGGAAACTAAATTATAATAAAATAATTTTAATGCAATGCACCAGAAATTTGATAGCTGGGGTTACCCTAGTACCAAACAAAAAAGATATAATTTTATGTCTTCCATATTGTTTTATCTATAATTTAACAATATTAGAAATTAATATGACATAAGTATACTAATAACTAACCATCGTGAGTTATACCTACATCATCTAATAAACGTACAGCAATGAATCTTCAACAACGTTTGCCTTATTTTCTTTCAAATTTGATAAAGAAGCTCGTAAATAAGAGATCGATTGGAACTCGACGAGAAATAGTAGTTTGTAAGTGGGAAAAATGAACAAGGAGAGGATAGAATGTTGAACCGATGAATTCTCTGTGGCGTGGAGGTCGTTGATTCGTGAATTTCACGTGACGTTACTGAAAATCGCCTAACAAGGCGATGCAATTCTTTTATGAGTTATGTCGACCACGTTGCACAACGCGAGCGTAGGCGATCACGGGCTAGTACACGCTTCACGGCCTCGTCGAATTTATTCCGAAAGCGCAATACGTGCTAAATAATTTTCTCTTTCATCGATTCGACCTTCGATGACGTTCGGTAAACGGAATACACAATGTCTTCTACGAGGATCGTTTATACGTCGCGGAATGGAGTGCGCTCGTCGATCTTTGCTAGCGAAAGCTTGTAATTAGTACGGTCGAATTAAACTGCACAAATTAATTGGCTTACATAAAGCAACGGTGAACGAATTGGATGCTCGTCGTGCTCTGCATTCGGTGACGAGTTTTATTCTTCGATTATGCTAGATATAGACCATAAAGAATGTAAATAATTCTACTTCCAGGTATATCAGGGGAAAAATCATTAGAAACGTGATATATACTTGTGAATTTTCTTAAGAGAGGATAGTATGGAATTATTGGGAACAAAATGAAATTTGTTTAAATTTGTTAATCCATATTTTTTCTATATTTTTGATAGTTTGAGCGATATTTAGAGAAATAGGTTTTGCTGCAACTACTTTGAAGGAGAATTTCATCCCTTTAATGTGGGTGATGATAGATAAATAAAATACAAATAAAATATTTTCCTTGTTGAAAGGAATAATTAGGGAGATCAATTTGATCGATCGACTCAATTTATATTTATTTATTGTGAAATATTTTATTCGTAATTTAGAATTTTTATTTTTATTTAGCAATGAAATTATGTATTGTAGAGTTGTTGGAAATGATTTTCAATGCTGGTCCTCGATATTTGCTCATGAGATAATTAAAAAATGCTTCTTTATTATAGCATTTAAAAAGAAAATGAAATTCGATCGACTCAATTTATATTTATTTATTGTGAAATATTTTATTCGTAAATTAGAATTTTTATTTTTATTTAGCAATCAAATTATGTATTGTAGAGTTGTTGGAAATGATTTTCAATGCCTGGACCTCGATATTTGCTCATGAGATAATTAAAAAATGCTTCTTTATTATAGCATTTCTATAGAAAATGAAATTCGATCATTTAAATTTGTTTTAATCAAATTATGTATTGTAGAGTTATTGGAAATGATTTTCAATGCTGGACCTTGATATTTGCTCATGAGATAATTAAAAAATGCTTCTTTATTATAGAATTTAAAAAGAAAATGAAATTCGATCGACTCAATTTATATTTATTTATTGTGAAATATTTTATTCGTAATTTGAATTTTTATTTTTATTTAGCAAACAACAGGTAAACAGTTGCTAATTTTTTTATTTGTCGAAACTTTTGAGTTGATAAGAACTTTGCCTGATTGGGGTGTTATAATATAAAATATCACAGACCTAACCTAGACCTAATCTAGATCTAATCCAGACCTAACCCAGATCTAATCCAGATCTAAACCAGACCTAACTCTGGCCTAATCCAGACCTAACCCAGACCTAACCCAGACCTAATTCAGACCTAACCCAGACCTAACCCAGATCTAATCCAGACCTAACCCAGACCTAACCCAGACCTAACCCAGATCTAATCCAGACCTAACCCAGATCTAATCCAGATCTAATCCAGACCTAACCCAGATCTAATCCAGATCTAATCCAGACCTAACCCAGACCTAACTCAGATCTAATCCAGACCTAACCCAGACCTAACTCAGATCTAACTCAGATCTAATCCAGACCTAACCCAGATCTAGGGTCTGGGTTAGGTCTGGGTTAGGTCTGGGTTAGGTCTGGGTTAGGTCTGGGTTAGGTCTGGGTTAGGTCTGGGTTAGGTCTGGTTTAGCTCTGGGTTAGGTCTGGGTTAGGTCTGGATTAGCTCTGGGTTAGGTCTGGGTTAGGTCTGGATTAGGTCTGGGTTAGGTCTGGGTTAGGTCTGGATTAGGCCAGAGTTAGGTCTGGGTTAGGTCTGGGTTAGGTCTGGTTTAGCTCTGGGTTAGGTCTGGGTTAGGTCTGGATTAGCTCTGGGTTAGGTCTGGGTTAGGTCTGGATTAGATCTGAGTTAGCTCTGGGTTAGGTCTGGATTAGGCCAGAGTTAGGTCTGGGTTAGGTCTGGTTTAGCTCTGGGTTAGGTCTGGGTTAGGTCTGGATTAGCTCTGGGTTAGGTCTGGGTTAGGTCTGGATTAGGTCTGGGTTAGGTCTGGGTTAGGTCTGAACTTCAACATTTCTCTGACTGTTCATGTTCACAGAATTGCACCTTTGGAACAAATAATAATAATAGATTTGTTCATCAAACAGATTTGGAACATGTGGTTCAGTTAATTGTATTTTTTAAATAGGATAATTAAATTCTTTCCTGAAAATTATCACATAAATTATACATGGGTTAGGTTAGATCTGAAATAGGTCTGGATTAGATCTGGATTAGGCCAGAGTTAGGTCTGGGTTTGTTCTGGGTTAGATCTGGGTTAGGTCTGGATTAGATCTAGATTAGATCTGGGTTAGGCCTAACCCAGACCTAACCCAGACCTAACACAGACCTAATCCAGACCTAACCTAACCCATGTATAATTTATGTGATAATTTTCAGGAAAGAATTTATTATCCTATTTCAAAAATACAATTAACTGAACCACATGTTCCAAATCTGTTTGATGCACAAATCTATTATTACTAATTGTTCCAAAGGTGCAATTCTGTGAACACGAACTGTCAGAGAAATGTTGAAGTTCAGACGATGTAAATCTATTCTAATGGAGGTGTTTATGACCTGACTTTTGCTAGTGAAGAACTCACATACCAACTCCAAACTATTTAGAACAGGATCACGAGCAAGAAGATGTGAAAGGAGTCGAGATAAATTTACCAGAGAATTCATCTATTAAACAAATCTGTTTCACTTAAATCTTCATGGAAATATGTGTTAAAAATCGAAAGATTATAATAAAAAAACAACGAATCTGTTTTCTAAGCGACTATACGCGTTGGTATTACGACGATTGGAAAGTTGAAGAAGAATTTGACTGGTATTATTCGTCTGGCAGGTGTCGATCAAAATAATGGCTGCGATAGTACGTTTCGTTCAGTATAATTTGCTCAAGGTAAAGTTTACTATAAGTGGACGCCCGTGTTTGCTGGATGCCTGTAATCGTGCTGGAACATCGTCTTGTAACTTTCTCGAAATAGGTTGTACGCGGTCGCAATTTCGATGGCATCCGTTCCCCTTCGCGGCGATGCACTCGTATGTGCAGCGAGCAAAATATTCTCGTCCCATTAACCATCTCCACCTTCTCCTCGCATTGAAAATTAATCCACCTCGTATCGAGTTTAAACGCGTCTCTCCAACCCTGGTATCTTCCACAAAAGTAGTCAAATTTCTCATCTCATCCTAACATCATCGAGATAAAAATAAAAATAAAAATCTTGTAGTTGAAAACACGATTATGTATTGTTTATCGACACTCTCCTGTTGGATGCAATTTTACGTAGAACTATGTCTAATCAAATAGTCCAATTGCATCTTTTTTAACACGTTGACTGTCTAAAATCCTAAAATTGTCAACGAGACCAAAAACTTTCATTTTAGACAATTGTAAACTACACAACTTAAAAAGTTGTCGTAACAGTTACTTTTATAATATTTTAATGAAAATTACTATTTCTAATTTATAAAATATATACGAATTTTAGAAGCTAGTACCTCGACGCTTAATATAAAAATGAAATTTTTACATTCAATAGTTTTGTTTTTTAATGAATCTTGTTTTTTTTTTAAAATGAGTGACAAGAAGATGTATTTTCATTTTTATTCCTGCAAAACGCGGTTCAAATAACAATTCAGATGATTTAAAAAGCTTTGCAATGGAGATTTTAGTCTGATCGAGCAAATTTTGATTTTAATTTTGATTTTGATTTTGTCACTCTGGCAAATTAATCGACGTTGATATGAACTAAAGATCTACTTTAATTACGAATAATTTATATTGCACAATATAGGT